AAAAGAATCAGTTCTTGGCTCCACCCTGAGGGTACCTGGACCTAGGGCACTGAATGCACTGAATCCAAGACAGGCGCAGTGCCACTCAAAGGTCCCAGGGAGCATGGGGGTGTGCAGTGCTGTGATCTGGGGAAGCAGGGGTCCATGCCCCCCACCAACATGGGAGCGCACCAGGTGTCTGCAGCTCAAGTTCTCAGTCYGCCCACGTCGGTGGCGCCCACTCTGACCTCTTCTTAGGACGCACCACTTCCGTTGGCCAGTGACAAGCTGACCCAAGGCCACGAGTGTCCTGCGACCAGCACCCCCGCCTCCCTCCACCTAGCGAGGTGTTTCTTCTCCTCTAGCAGCAGACACAGGTGACAAGAGCCCTGGGGTCTTGGAAGCCTTCCCCACCTCCTGTGGCAGGACACCGTCTTTCTCTAGCAGACCTGGTGGCTTTGTAGCTCCTGGTTTAACTGTTTCGTTCTGTATTTTTCCCCTTCTGAGCTGCTTCTCCTGCTCCACAGACATTTCCAAAGGTTCCAAGTTCCTATCCCCTCCCCAGGTCCCCAGGGAGTGGAAGCAGGGGCTCCGGCCCTCCTTCCTCACCCTTCCTCACCCGGGCTTTGTCCTGGTTAAAGGTGGGGTCTAGACTCAGGCAGCCCCAAGTCCCAGCCCCAGCTCCTCCACTGGCCTCAGAGTTACGCGTGAAGCCTTATCCGTGTCTACTGGGGGCTTCCTCAAGGTCGCACCTGGGTGACGTGGGACCCAGGCTCCGGAATAGGAGGTACAAACAAATGGAGAGGACCTCTCCAGACTGGAGCGAGGCTGGGCTGACAGCCAGGATGAGCAAGAGGCCGGAAAAGAAAAGATGGCTGAGCCTGGAGCAGGCACCTGCCTTGTCCCCTGGGGCGTCTGCACCAGCAGGGAGCCTGGCAGCCAAGCCCCTGGGTTCAAGGCACACTGCCTATGCTGCACCTCAGCGTGACCCCACACCAGCCTGTGGCCCAGGACAGGCCGTCCACAAGTCTGCCCAAATCTGTTTTCTGTCCCTGAAGCCAGGGGGAGCCACCTCCTTCCTAAGTGAGGATGATGTGGGAAAAACTCTAAAGCAAAGCGTGGCTCTGTGGACCCCGACCAGGGC